TAAGGATAATTAAATGTATTACAGTAGATTTAAAATGCAACTCACATTTCTTGTCACTTTCTTCCAATGCTATGAATTTTTGTTCATACTCCTCCCTCATTGAGCGTAGCTTGGCCTATAGTAAATATAATATTTACTAATAATTATGAGCTGTGAAAGTATTTTAAAACTAAAAAAGCGTAATTACATGCAGACTGGTAAAATTATGACACTTGCAACAAGTCTATCTGCATATTCTAATTATTCTTCGCACCTGTAATGGAAGCAGCTCCTTAATCTTCTCTTCCAGATCAAAAATGATCAGATCATACTCATTGGAAGCGAGCAATGGCTTGTAAGTAGTGAAGTTCTCTACCAATTTAGGAATCAAAGACTTCATTGTGAGCCTGTGCAGAGTACATCATAATGCAATTTGTAAATAGCAATCATTTACTTGGAGCCTCAGCTGGTGCGTTCCGCGTCGAGGGGTGCCTAATAACTCCAGCTCTTTCTTCAAGTAGTCTTATCTATGTTCCAACTCTCAATAATTGGGGCTTAGGAACAACGGATCGCTCGTCTTTGCAGCTAGCAGGCCACAATTCCAACTTCCCCCTCTGCACTTTAGACTAGTGTTGTGAGCAGCATATGTAAACACGAGAGGGGCTAAATAAAAGATGTTTACCTGCTGCCACAAGCTAGCTTTAGTTTTTTTAGCCGGCGCCATTGAATTCGTCAGTATCGTCACTAAATTAATGTGGTTGTCCCTAAAAAGCGGACCGGACCCGACCAAGGTAGGGTCTCAAAAGCGGACGGACGGACGGACCCGCCCCGCCCGAAAAGGACGGACGGACGAACTGATGCGGACCCGACAGGACCATAAATATTCATGTAAAGGAAATCATTCATGGATAGTCTGTCTTTAAAACACTTCTATACTTGGACAATAAATTTATGTACGTATTAACTATGCTAGGACCAATAGAAGAGGTCATGTTAGTGAAAATTTAACTTTATCAATGCAAAATTGCTACTACAGGCTGCATGAAGCATCACAATACTGAACCATCACTTGAATTCTATTTGTTATTCTTAATAGGAGTTCAGTGACACCATTTTAATGATTTTTCTATATTATTTAGTGTAAGTCTAATAATAAACATAGTGAAATTTTATGATTAATTTTTATCAGCTATTGCATGCAACACTATACTGAGATACTGATTTCATTTAATTACACAATTAAAATAATGATAGTTCAATATTCTTGAAATTACTGCTCTTTAAAGATAAGGAGACCCTTTGAAATAGTTATATTGAGCTTTAGAATCCAGCCTAAAAAGTAGTTATCCTACGTAATAAATGTAAAAATTATAGTTACTTCTAGTATATTTATTTTTGTCATACCTGGGCTAGGAATGCCACACTTTTTTGCAGATTCCTTTTCAATGTTTGTAAATTATTGTAAAGAGTTGCTTAGCACTAAGCAACTCTGGTTGCAACGCTAATAGTTATTGTTTTCCACCTATATAAAAATGATATTCCATTTCAATAGCAAATTGTACCTGAAACTGGGAAGCATGAGAGTCATAAGCCATTGCCTCAAAAATTTTGAAATTATCTAATAAACAATGTTATGACAGAGCATAACCACTACAATAGAATTTATACTTGGACAACATATCGGAACACTCCATCACAACACAGTATGATGTATAGGCAAAGTAAAAGTCAATTAATTTTAACAATAACATATTAGATATGCATAATTTGCACAGATAAGCATGACAGTCAATGGAACTGTCTTGTTTGGGTAAAAACTGTTGCAATAATAAACTAAAATTTGTAAGTTTGTACATACCACTTCATAGTATGTTTGTATAGTCTGAAAAGTTAAACTTCTGTGTGTGCACCCCTACCTTTTTTCTCAAATATATTGACAGCACACTATTCAATTTGAACAACAAAACATTAATTCAAATAAAATTTTGATTCATACCAGCACTTGCTTGTTTTGTCACAGTAAAATATTTTTCAATAGAATCAAAATTAAAAAATTGATTTATGAGGCTTAATAACCTATATAAATCCGCTATTAACATTGTAGACATTTAATTTTTAAAAGAACTTACAATTAAAATCTAGTGGCTTCTGACATGACAAGGCATTATATACAATAGATTCAAGTTCACTTACATCATATATAATCCTAATTTTATAGTGTTAAAACATAGATATTATACGTACAGCTGTGATGAAATAACTTACATAAAAGTATCAGTCAACAGTCTCATCAGGTTGATTTGCAACCAATTTACTTAAAGATTGCTGTTGGTAACACACAAAGCATAATTATTGCTCTAAAAATTGCAGTTTTTATTTAATAATACTCATCCTATATAGTCTACATTGTATTCCTGCTTATATTCACTGTAAATGGTAATTCCTCTTTGAATATATTGATTGAAGATATAGACTTGCACCAAATAATATAGAAAAATTATTAAAATGGTGTCACTGAACTGCTAACATGACCTCTTTTATTGGTCCTAGCATAGTTAATACGTACATAAATTTATTGTCCAAGTATAGAAGTGTTTTAAAGACAGACTATCCATGAATGATTGTCCTTTACATGAATATTTATGGTCCTGTCGGGTCCGCATCAGTCCGTCCGTCCGTCCTTTTCGGGCGGGGCGGGTCCGTCCGTCCGTCCGCTTTTGAGACCCTACCCCGGACCAACGGACCCGAAAAGACTAATTTACGGACCGAGCGACGGACCCGATACAAACTAATTTATTGGGGGTAGGGCCTCAAAAGCGGTAGGGTAGGGAGGCGCAGATTATTCTGGCATAAAAATGAGCATAATAACTAGGTAGAAGAATACAAGAATTATGCTAGCATAATTGGGAAGTATCCGGAAATCACTAGCATAAAAGGCAAAGTATCCTGAATTTAATGGTTAGAGAGATCACTGAGATGTCTGAATTGTTTTTTAGCTGCAGCCTTATTGAAGTTTTAAAATACCCTTGGAGATCAACAAAAGTTTATTGCCGGATTTTTAACTTCTGTTACACCTTTAGACCATGCATTAATGCATCTATTAATTAATTTTTGCTATGATAATGTATGTTTTTGGTTGGTTTTCAAGCCGCATAATTGAGAGCATAATGTACTATTTTTGAGAATAATCATAACACTTTATGAGCAATTCTGCATCAAATAATTGAAGCATTACTGAGCATAATCTGCATGAGCCTACGGTAGGGTCTCAAAAGCGGACGGACGGACGGACCCGCCCCGCCCGAAAAGGACGGACGGACGGACTGATGCGGACCCGACAGGACCATAAATATCCATGTAAAGGACAATCATTCGTGGATAGTCTGTCTATAAGACACTTCTATACTTGGACAATAAATTTATGCACGTATTAAATATGCTAGGACCAATAGAAGAGGTCATG